ACGCTTGAAGTTGTTCCAGAGGCTTTTTCCACTATCTTTATATTTTTGGATTCTTTTTTCTTTTTTGTTTTTCCGGTTGGGTGTTTTTTGCTTCTTCGTATTTCATATCTTTGACTTGATTCTTGGGATCCTCTAGTCTGCTGTTGGATCTCTGTATATTATTCTTTATTTCAGTCAGGGTATGCTTAATTTCTGGTTAGTCCTTTTTCATATCCTTGAGGGTCTCACTAAATTTCTACGAGGTTTCTAGAAGATTTTTGAACTCTATATCCAGTATTTTGATTTCATCCATTTCTTTCATTTGTGACTTTTTCTTTGTCTCTACATTTTGGCTGCTTCCCTGTGTTTCTATGTACTGGGTAGCTGCTAGGTTTCCTTGAGTTGATAGATATGGCCTTGTGTTGTGGTATCCTATAGGGCCCAGGGGCTCAGCCTCCCCAGTCACCTGAGGTGGACACTCTTGGTGCACCCCTTTGTGGGCTGTGTGCACAGTCTTGCTGTAGTTGAGCCTTGATTGCTGTTGGTATCACTGGGAGGAATTGACCTCCAGGCCAGTTGGCTGTGATGACCAGCTGTGTCTACAGTGGGAGAGCTGCTGTGCAGCAAACACCCCGTCAGCCACTGTCTGGGGCCAGCCAGCAGAAGCTACAGAGACATCTGCAGATTCCTCTGTTTGTATGAGGTTTGGAAGTGCCCAGACGAGGCCCAGCTGTGAAGCAAGGCAGGCTGCTGCTGCTGTCAGGCCTTGGGCCTTCTTTTGGAAGTTCTGCAGCTCTCTGACCCAGCTGCAATTTGACAGGTTTTAATCAGAGAAAAGACAGGCCATTCATATGCAAAAGCCAATGCACACAGCTTGGGTGGGGTTGCAAATTGGGTAGGGCAGAGTCTCTGGGAATCACCAGGGCAGAGCAAACAGCAGTGGCTGCCAGTCAGCCCTGCACCAGAGAGGTCCCTGTGTCTCCATGTCCCGTGCCCCGCATGCAGGAACAATGATCACTGCGAGCACCTCTGAGAGAAGCCGCCCTCACATTCCTGTCCTGATGCCGGACAGTCCAGTTTTTCCCTGTATGTGTCTGGGTCCCCCAGAATCTCGCCTGGAACGAGTTCAGAGCAAGCGGGAGCTTGTATCTCCCTCCCAATTAAAAGAGCAGTACATTCAGTGCCTCCATACCTCTTACCAGTCTCAATGTGCTTTCTTCACCTTTCTAGTTGTGGAACTTCCATTCAGCCAGCTTTCCCGCAGTTCTGGGTGGTCGTTGTTCTGCCTTTTAGTTGTAATTTTGATGTGGTTGTGAGAGGCAGCAAGTATAGGAGTTTACCTATGGCGCCATCTTGGTTCTCCTCATTAATAATTTTTTATTCTCACCATTGTCTAATTACATTTTCCATATAAGGCTAAAATCCTATCTAATAATAGACAAACATGGTAATTGACTGTACCTTCACTATGCCTCCCATTGGCGAATCAGCGCAATATGCAAATTAACCAACAAAGATGGTGGCTAATTTGCATACTGCAGGCAGGGCGGGACAGCACAGCCACCAGCGTGAGCCATCATCCCGGGCCGCAGGCCGGCCCCAGAAGCCCCAGAAGCCTCCCAGAAGCAGGTGATCGGGGGGAGATAGTGGTCCCCTGCCCAGGCCTTATGCCTCAGGCAGAGGCGTCAGGCCTGGGCAAGGGGCCGATCTGGTGATTGGAGGGTGATGGAGGTTGACACCTCTGGCCGAGGCATCTGGCCTGGGCAGGGGGTGGAGCCGGCAATCGGAGGGGTCTGGCGGTCCCCTGCCCAGGCCTGACTCCTGGGCCAGAGACATCAGGCCTGGGTTGGGGGCAGAGCTGGTGATCGGGGGGATATGAGAGTCCCCTGCCCAGGCCCGAAGCCTGCTACAGATGCGTCAGGCCTGGGTGGGGGGCTGAGCCAGTGATCAGAGGGAGATGGGGGTCACCTGCCCAGGCCGGACGCCTCTGGCAGAGGCGTCCGGCCTGGGCAAGGCAGAGCCAGTGATGGGAGGGAGATGGGGGTCAACACCTCTGGCTGAGGCCTCGGGGGAGGGGGAGACCAAGCGGGCGATTGGTGTGAACTACAAAGGAAATACCTTTTCTGACTGTTCATTGGTTAAGCTCCCTGTATGCCACTGGTAATATTCTTAGTAACTTGGGTAATAAGAATCCAAAAAGGTGATCTAGGGTTTTTCACCACACTCCTGGCGAAAAAAATGAAGGTCCGCTGCTGGAGGGCTAAGAAATGTCATATCCTGCCCTAGCTGGTTTGGCTCAGTGGATAATGCCTCGGCCTCCTGACCACAGGGTCTGAGTTCAATTCTGACCAAGGACATGTACCTAGGTTGCAGGCTCCTTCCTGGCCAGGGCCCATGT